GATGTAAAGTGCTATGGAAAGCTGGTTGTCTCCTCTTGATTTTCTACAAATTTGAGATGGATTATACGGTGAGAAAGTCTTCATTTGAGGCTGAACTTCTGACGGTCTGACTCTGAGCTGAAAATGTGGATTTCTTCCATTTTTCCATCATTTTCCCTAAGATTCCTGAAAACCTTAAAGGTGTTTTAACTCTGTTTTCAATGGCTTAAAGTTTTTTCAATGTTTTAGAGTTTCAAAAGTCTTTTCAGGAAACTTGGGCAAAAGATATGCAATTTGGAACAAATGAACAATTTTGGATAAATGCAGACCGTCAGAAGTATGGCAAGCGATGAATACCTTCTTACCGTCTGATAACCCCAAAAATTTCAGACAGCATAGAGGATACAACCAGCTTTCTAATGCACTTGTTTTGGAGACAACTAAACAGTTAGATATTCAGATACTCTTGATGCAATAAAGACAGAAAATGCAGTCTCGGAAGACAGCACAAGCCGGAACCACGGCCAAAGCATGGTTCCCCACGGGTACAAGCACCGCGACCGCGGCCAGACAACATTCACTTCCCTGACGACCTAATTAAAGCCCAAGTCGATTCCCTTTATTATTTTTGAAGCCCTAAGTGTCGAAGAAAACTCCAGAAGCTATAAATACCTCCTTTAGGTCTTTGTAAAGGGTTGTGCTGAGATTTTCGTGTGTGTGCCTCAAACCCTAGAAGTTTCCGTTTTAGAAGAAGAAGCCGCCGAGGGAGAGCATCTTCGCGCCTCCACCTGCAACTCCGTCCTTCGTTTTTCTTCTTTGTTTTTTGTTAATTTCCAGCAATCCTAATACGTTCATGATGCTTTGTAGCAATATGCTTGTGTAGTTCCCAGTTGGGTTTAAAGGGATTTTTTTCAAATGGAATTTCATGTGTCTTCTTCTATGAATCGTTAGATTTAGGATTAATAATCTTCTAGGTGTTCTTCGTTTACCTTTATTCTTATTATGTGATTCTCTGCTGGCCACTTAGACTTCGATCTAGATATGATACGTTGCAAAATTTTTCATTGATTGTCTGACCTAGGGTGAAACGAGCAATTCTACTATAGGAGTTGAATGTTGATGAGTCTTGTTTAATCTATTGCATCTACTCCCTTCCAGGACCAGAGTGGAAACCTACTGGTGAGGGTTGCAAGAAATAGTTGTTTAGTGCTGCGAAATTAGGTTATTCATACTTCTGTGCCTCGAGTTCTAGAACATATATAGTCGATTACCTTTATCATTTATTTATGTCATACTTTTAGTCCATGAATCCCTGCGATACCTATGAGCCTAGCGTTTGTTTTCCATTGTTTACAGCCTTTGATTTTCATTCGATTTTTACCTGCTTTCACTTGCTTTCACTTTCAATTGCTTTTTACTTGCTTTTAGTTTAGATTCAGTGACAACCCAAACCAAAACTCAAACCTGTTTAGTTCTAATCTGATTTGAGCATTAGCGTCAATTTGTAATGAAACAACTAAGTCTCTGTGGATTGATACCCTAAGTACTATAGCGCACATCTGATGTGCTGTCGTGTGTCGAGGGTTGTCAAGTTTTACCCTAAATGAAATCAATAGACGCAAGTGCACAGCTGATCGATTGTAGTACTTAGGGATCAAATCCACAGGGAAGGAGGATCTTTCCTGCAAAAGCCTTCGAAAGAAATATAAAGTAAGGAAGTCTAGAACCAGGCGAGTTTTGTGAGGGTTTTGGGTGGTGTATTTAAAACGTAAAAACGAATATTACAGAGAAAATACGGGAATTAAAATGACCTAATAACTTAATGAAAACGAGTAAAAACAAAAAAACGGCTAGACCTAATTGCTTTAATAAAACTCGATTGGGAGAATGAAAATACTAGAGTAAAACTTGAATTAAAAATCGGTGTGAATCTATAGAAAAGAAGGCGCTGGGGTTCAGGGAAGTTTTCTCAGAGGTATGAACGATTCAAAACATTGCTAGAGAGTAAATTTGATAAGATCTGAGCTTAAACTTTTCGAATTGGAGTCACGGACGTATGAATACGCCACTGTCATGATCATAGACAACTATCTCTCTCAACCCTGACCAGTAGGTTTCCACTCTGGCCCTGGAAGAGAATAGATGCATTATGTTTAAGACTCCTCAGCATTCACAAATCGCCCATAGGTAGGTTTCCACTCCTATGTTTGTTTTGCTCTCCCAAACTAGATCTGACACCTGATGAACACTTTCGTGTCACCAAGCATATGGATCAGATTGTAGTTCATGACGCTACTCTCATGCAGTAAAAATGAATTCAGAAGAAAAAGTTCTAAGATTCGGCTCAATAGCTCATGGAATCCTCATCGAACATATGTATCCCCATCAAAAATCCCTTAGACCCAACAATAAAACTACTCAGACATGATAAACGAAATCAAAAACATAATATTAGAAAGTAGAACAGAAACCAAAATTGAAAAGGAAAGAACAAAGGTTCAAGAGATAGATCTCTCTCTCCCTAAAACCTAAAAACAAAGCTTAAAGTTAAATTTCTATAAAGTATTTCGTCTCTCTTTTTTCTCTCCTAAAAACGACCTAAATGATATGTATTTATAGTCTCCAATACTCTCTGGTGTCTAGGGTTCCAGAATTGAGGCTGGGAAAATGATACGGGCTTCAGAAATAGGCCTTCAAACTCGGAGTTAGCTGGCCGCGGTCGGGATGCGCGTGACCGCGGAGAATGGATGGCTGGCCATGGTCAGGATGGTTGTGACCGCGGGAAATGGCCTGTTGGCCGTGGGTGGAAACGCTTGCCGGCTGGTTTACGGGATATCTTGCTCTTCGCGTATCTTTTGATTGAACCGTTGGATTGCCAAGCTGTAAAGTGTGCTGAAAAGCTGATACTTCCATCTTTGAGATCTCCAAATTTGAGCTGGATCGGACGGTGAGAAGGCCTTCAATCGGGGGTGAACTTCTGACGGTTTGACTCTGAGCTAAAAATCTGGTCTTCTATCCATTTTGTTAAGTTTTTCCCTAAGTTTTCTGAAAAGAGTCTTGGAACTACAAATACTAGAAAAACGTAATAAAAGTACTTGAAAGTAATTAAAAACATAGAAAAAGTATTTCAAAACGATCCATAAAAGTGGTCAAAATACGGTGTTATCAACATCTGTGCGCTTGGAGACATTTATGGGTGATAAAAATTTAAAACATGAAGCTTAGTAAAACAAACACCCCGTTTACAATCGCATCAAGCCTCAAGAGCATCTATAGGTACCTAAAACACTCCAATACGGAACAAGGCTCTAGGACTAACTTAAGACTTGTTAACCTCTAACTATGCATGAAAACCTCAAAGATTATAGAAATGCAACTATGTATAAGACACAAAAATTAACAAAAAACGACCAGAGGTCGATAGCTCGACTGGAAAGGTACCTTTGGGTAATCTAAAAGGTCACACGATTGTGTGATACCTAGGATGGGTAATTATATTAAAGGCTGGCCCGGGTCTAGGGGGATGTACGAGTTTCAGCCTAGAACATGCTGGTTATTCAAAAATATTTTAACTAATTGAATGTAACAATGAGTAAATAATGCAACTATCAGGAATTGCTGTGTCTTCTTGAAGTGATCACTTTTCCTTTTTGGGTATTAAAGTTCCAACAATGTGTTAGGATCTGAAATGAAACGTTAGAGGACAATCTAAAGAAATGTATAAAGAACATAAACCAATTACGCGTTGTCAGTTGACTTTGTCTTGAATACCAATAACACTTTAAAATAGTATCAAATCCCTTGCTAGTCTAAAAATCATCAACTGGACATGTTAGAATTCTTTGCCCAAGTTAGAATGACAACCTAAGTAATATTCAAACCGGGCTCAATAAGATCATTATCTCGAATTAGTGATATGATCTCACATCAAAACTTCTTTATATTGGTTTTTTTTAGAATTATGTTAGAGAAGTTATAATATTATAGAAAATTCTTCAAGGTAAAAGAAATAGCTTAGAATAAAGGTTACGAATTTGCATCACACACACACATTTATAATTGACTGATACTGAATTCCAACGACAAGAACTAACGGTGGAATATAAAACCTCTGCCAGAGAGTTATGTTATCTACCTGATGACCAGTACCTAACCTAATTTATTCATTGATTGTTAAGTAAGAGTAATCAAATCAAGATGACGAATTTGCTCGCTTCATTACCGCTTTAATTGTTTACACGAAAGAAACAAAGTCAACGGACATCCAATAATGTTCTAATCAGCTCATTCTCCTCTCAACAAGGCGAATCATATCTTCCTCCCTTGTGCGTAATCTATTGCCAACCGGAAATATATAGCAAAGTATTTGAATATTAATCACTTAAATTATTAGAACAACAAAACGTATTATAAATTACTAAGTCTTGTGATCTGGAACAAGATATGGAATTAGTAGAATGTAGACCTTTAAAATGATTGAAATTATATAACCAAATACTTTTTTAGTACGTAGACTTTTGTAAGATGAGTCTAAGCAGTGCATTAGAAAGAACCTCAAATCAATATCATCGTGAAAATATTCCAATCATTTAAGATGTTCAATTTAGAATTTACAAAACTAATGTGTGATAAAAAACATAAACTATATTTTTCAACAGCAGTGAATTATAGACCAGTTGAAAATCCAATCTGAAATAAAGAATTCACATTACACATTAACATCTCACTCGTATTGTGGGAAATGATGAGAACAATGGATCGTCTTTCACCTAAAAAATATATATGTCAGTGTAAACATTAATTAGACCAATAAATAAAATATCCCCAACATATTGAAAATAAATTTATATGAAAACTAATATATAAAGCAACCACTATTATTATATGTGAATGTTCCAAGGTCGGTCAGTACGAATATGACACAACAACTACTATAAGTACAGGACTTTGAAGACAAGTAGGTTAACTAAAACATCCTTAATTTCTAAACCTACGCACTCTACAAAAGATACATCAAAAAGAGTAAAATACTATCTATCTCCCTTTTTTTTAACTATCTATCTCCCTCTTTCCCCAAAGAATAGTAGAACAAAGTGGCAGTAATCAAGATGAAGAAGACATCATTGACATCTCTGTTCTTAGGATGTTACAGGATAAATAACGCGAATAGATACGAAGTAGAGGAGAAGGATCACCCGATGAAAATAAGAACTTGTCCGGTGTTCAAGAGGCTGTCTTTGTCGGACATAAGTGATCCAAGCTCGCCCATGTCGTTCATGGATGATCTCTCAAACTCCTTCACATCTGACAAGCTTCGTTTGTTTTCGATGTCCGAGCTGAGAGTGATTACGCATAATTTCTCAAGACTTAGCATATTGGGAGAAGGAGGGTTTGGGCCGGTTTACAAAGGATTTATTGATGATAAGGTTAAACCGGGTTTAAAAGCCCAACCGGTTGCAGTTAAGGCACTTGATCTTCATGGTCATCAAGGTCATAGAGAATGGCTGGTAAAATATATCTCTTTTTTTCTCTAGTTTAATAATTTTAATTTTCATTAGAATTTTCTAGAACTACAATATTAGTTCTGAACTGTTATATGTATTTATAATGTTGCAAAAAAAACTCGCAATATCTTTAAATGATCCCTTTTCGGCTTTGATTTACAGTCAGAGATAATATTTTTGGGACAGCTAAGTAACAGACATCTTGTTAAGCTCATAGGGGTTTGTTGTGAAGAAGAGCAAAGAGTACTTGTTTATGAGTACATGCCGCGAGGTAGCTTGGAGAATCAACTCTTTAGAAGTATGTCGTCTACTAAATTTTTACCCTAATCTATCAAGTTGTTATTCAATTCACTTTCTTATTTGAGTTCGTTTAAACCTTAAGGAACATTCAAACAACTCTTTGATGACTTCACAGTTTTTTAAGAACTGAATGACAACAAAACAGTAGGACTAGTCCCACAAAAGGACCATATATATCTTTATTATTATTTGCAAAATCGACGGCATCCATATTTCTTGATTTATTTGTCGCACAAGTATTTACAATAAACATGCTGGTTTATTTATCGCACAATGTTCATGGATGTCGCGCATGTTTTTTTTTTTTTAAAAAAAAATATCATGCTGTGGTATCCAATAACACGCTGTTTTATGTTGTATAACATTTTTTCGTTTAATCGCACACTAATAAGCACAACTTAATATCGTTTTGCCATCGTGTGTGTGTTTTTTTTTTTCCAATTTCGGCTTTACTCATCTACCAAGCAAGCTAAAAAAAATCTTGGCAAAAGAATACATGCTTAACTTTACCAAAATTTAAGTTACTTTATCGTTTAATGCAGTACATTATATAACTTTCGTTTTTAAGTAACAGTTTAATAATGTTTCAATTGGAACAGGAAATAGTGTAGGACTGGCATGGGGACTAAGGATGAAGATAGCCCTTGGAGCCGCCAAAGGTTTAGCATCTCTCCATGAAGCAGAGAAACCTGTTATCTACAGAGATTTCAAAACCTCCAACATATTATTAGACTCCGTGAGTCTTTTTAATCCTTCTTATATTTTTGTAACCACTATCAATTAAATTGCTATTTTGATTGATTTCCCGAATATTTCAGAACTATAACGCCAAATTATCTGATTTTGGTCTGGCCAAAGATGGACCTGAAGGAGAACATACACATGTAACAACTCGCGTAATGGGGACACAAGGTTATGCTGCACCCGAATATATTATGACTGGTAACATTATTTATGGAGTTAATAATTTTTTTTTTACCATATAACCGAAATTTTTTTGAGTTTTGTCATAATGGTTTCTTATGTGACAGGTCACTTGACGACAATGAATGATGTGTACAGTTTTGGAGTCGTTTTGTTAGAACTGCTAACCGGGAAACGATCAATGGACAATACCCGGGTACGGAGGGAACAAAGCCTCGTGGAGTGGGTTCGGCCAATGTTGAGGGATCAAAGAAAGCTAGAGCGGATCATTGATCCGAGGCTGGAATGCCAATACAATACCGAGCAAGCTCAGACAGCTGCTACCTTAGCCTTCAAGTGTCTAAGCCAAAATCCCAAGTATAGACCAACTATGTCTAAAGTGGTAAAGGTCTTGGAGCCTATCCAAGAAGTTCAGGCAAAGGAGCCTGATAGTAACAACAAAGAAACAAAGATGTTTATGGATAGAAAAAAGTGTAGGCATTATTGTAAATGCCAAAAACGTGTGAATATCGCTTATTCAGATTCTCTCCTTTACAAGGAATCAGGGACAAAGCAAAAAATTGGGATTTGAAATACATAGTTTTCTCATCTTATATATAATGACAATCAACTCTCTCCAGCTGAGTGACACATCAGCAATAGAGAAAGTGACATGTGGCACATCCAAAAATTGATAAAATAAATAATTAATTAAATTTAAAGCAAAACACATTAAAAACATAAATAAAGATTAATATATATATATATATACATTAGAATGCAATTCAAATTTAATTTAAATATAGAAAAACTTATAAATTTTATATAATACAAGATTTTTTAGATGCACTATTCTATTTTCTTATTTCAATTGATTTAAATTTCATTTTCAAACTAAAAATATACTAAATTTTAATGCAAATACAATCAACTCTCTCCAGCTGAGTGACACATCAGCAATTGAGAAAGTGACATGTGGTACATCCAAAAATTGATAAAATAAATAATTAATTAAATTTAAAGCAAAACACATTAAAAACATAAATAAAGATTAATATATATATATATACATTAGAATGCAATTCAAATTTAATTTAAATATCGAAAAACTTATAAATTTTATATAATACAAGATTTTTTAGATGCACTATTCTATTTTCTTCTTTCAAGTGATTTAAATTTCATTTTCAAACTAAAAATATACTAAATTTTAATGCAAATAAAAAAAATTAAGACTGAATAAAATAAGAAGTTTCAAATATTCTTATATAAAACTTCAACTAATAAATTAAAAAACATAAAAATATTTAATAAACGATTAAAGAGATAACAATTATTAAAAAAAAATTAGTATAAAGAAAGATGTGCACGTAAAAATGTCATACATGAATTTAAATTAAAAAAATGGAATCAATAAAATATATATAACTAAAAAATTCAAAATGGTAAATTGAAAAAGTTAACAAGTATTATATTAGTAAGATTTACAAAGATAAAAAGAATATGAAGATCGAAGAACAAATAAATATTTCTCTCTGATATTAAACGTATATTTATAAGTGAATTATTACGTTTTCATACAAAATTTAAAATAATATATTTTTAATCCCTTATTATTTTGGAAGAAAAATTAGACTATTTGGCACAACCGGTATAGAAGAGATTACAAATAATGTATCATCAAAAAGAAATCAAGGAAAATATAAATATTTTAAACGCAAAACATTGATAATAAACATAAAATTCAATACACATTTTAAAAATATAGTATTTAAATATATATTAAAACAAGACCCGCGTATACACGCGGGTTCTCTCCTAGTATGAACTAATGTTGATATGTAATATCACACAAAAAGGACAAAACAGTAATTAAATCGAAGTTCGATTTTATTGATATCAGATCAGAGTAAATACAACTCAGTTTGTTTCCGAGTTGGTCGTTTTGACGAACTAGGACTTAGGGAACTGAATGCTTTTAATAACTATTAGCTTTTGATCTCTACGTCTCCGCAGGTTCTTGTGTGTTCTTGTAACTGTTCACCGAGAAGTGTTTAACGAACGATGTGGTTAACTCCTTGTAACTGTTTACCGAGTTCCCTTCAAGTCGTGAGAACCAATCGAGAGCGATATCGCCGAGGGTCTCGACAAAAGTTGGCCCTGGACTGCATTTTTTTCCTCAGCAGTTCGGAACTGATATCGGTTCATGCAGATTTTGAATGAGGTCAGGAAATGGCGCGGGTCGGAGTCGCCCTCATAAGTCTTGATCTTGAGCTTTTCCAAGTGCCAAACAGGTGTGCCAGCAATGCGCGGGGTGAAAGGAGTGTTTTGCGTTTCCTGGATAACACGGTCGATCTCCGAACCGCACTTATTGCTCGATGAATCTTTGACGTGATTTGGCAAAGCTGTGTCTTCATTGCCTCAATATCGGCATCACGGGTTGGATCTGTCGGAACAAGCGCGTTTGCTGACCCGAGAGCGGCTGATCGCATCGTTCCAGTGGGCTCACTTTCCGTGTTGAGGTCGTCAATGATGTTGAGTACTCGTAGCAGAGTACAAACTTGACTGAGTTCGGCAATTTGAGTAGCTATTTGGTTGAAGCGCTCCTCGCTTCGTTTTGTAATGGCCTCCAGCTGTGCAGTAAATGCTTGGAGGAGCAAGTCTGCGCTGAGGGTCCTGATAACACCTGATTTTGACCACTTTTATAAATCACTTTTAATATCTTATGCAGGTGTTTTCACTCAGACTAGATTTTGACCCGTGCTATGCACTGTATTATGTTGTAATCAGTTTAAATATCTAGTTTTAAAGTATGTGGACATAAGATATTTATAATATAATGATTTGTATTATATTCAATATTTTAGAGTGAGATTAATAATTGTGTGTAGATGTATGTTGTATTGTAGTTGCTTTACCTTTTTTTGTTACTTTTGTTACATTATTTTTTTGGCATCTCAATCGTTGTTACATAGTAAAATATTACTCGGTCATTCATATTAGATATTGATGTGTTTACATATAAAATCAACAATGTGATGTAAAATGGCATAAGCATTACAATTCAATGTCGATATTAAAAAAATTTCAAATCATGGGAATAATTATAGAATTTAATAAATTATCAAATAAGATAAATTGTGTGGAATAGAAATACATTAAACTTAATGGAGTTGCGAGGGCTGGAATAAAGACGTTTCCTTAAAAAAGGATATGAATAAATCAATATATATAACATATCTACAATATATTAACCGAATCTTACAAATTGCTTTTATTATTCTAGTAAGGCAGTATTGATAATTACAGATAATTTATAGTAGTTATAATAAGATTTGTAAATGAAGACGAATTTGATAAGAAAAGGTAGTTTAGATTGTAATATTTTTAAATGAAGATACACAATACTTTATGTTAAAAATTTTGTCTAAATTGCTGTTTTCTTTATATAGCCAAAATATAGAATTGGTATATTTCTATATATTCATGTCTAAACAATGTTAATTTGGTATGGTTTGGGGTTTAGAAAAATCAAAACATAATTACATATTGTAAATAAACATTTATTCACAGAAAAATTTGAATAATGTTTTGAAATAAGAATATTTCCGTGATATGATATAGGAAACATTACCTTAGAATAAAAATAAGACACAAATAATATAAATGGAGTTCATTTCATATCTTAACCCTAAATCGGAAGTAGTAAACATTCAATAGAATATCAAATTAGCTGATATATTTAAATGACAAAAACAAAGTTAATGAAGGAATATCCTCCGTTTTATACTTTAGATATCCAGATAATTATTATAATGCAATAAGGCAAACAATGCAATAATTATATAGAGATGAAATATAGTTAGAGTAGTGATAATGATGAAAGTAACATAACATAGTGTAAGTTCGAATAAAGCCAACATATAACTTAAGTCTTAACATTATAGAAATTAGGAGGACATCACTCCTTTTGATTAACGAAATAAACTAAAAACATAAAGACAAACTGACTTCAGACTGCTCCCAAACTACGCATCCCTTGCCTCTGAAGATGAAGCATTGCTGGCCGATGCACTTAGCTTATCCCAAATCTGGACAAAATTATAAGTTACAGAAATAAATATATATCATATATATATATATAATATATATTATATGAAAGAAAGACTAATATTTAGTATAACATTTTATTACTTGCTCCTGAGTATGAAAACTTCATCAAGTGCTGGATAAACTATGAAACAGGAAATCTTTCCTCCTTCATAAACATGTATGGTCATTTCATCTATATAAAAAAGTCTATAAATATCAGGAATCAAGACAAATGATTATAATACATGGAATTAAAAAAACATTAAAGATAAAATGGTGACTTACTGAAGTTTTTATTAACAACCCAGTCAGTCAATACACATATTGCATATGGTCCTTTCATTAACCCGCAGTTACATTTTTCCTTGATTTCATATGCCAAATCACAATGAGCGACGTAGTTAAGTTTGTAATCCCTTCAAGTAAACAAAAAATATTACTTAACTACATATAAATAATCATTTAAATTTGTTAACTTAGTGAATATCCTTACTCAAGATCTCGAATACGAAAATTAAGGGTTGGAACAGCATTCCCATCAGATTGAACAACATCAACAACGTCTCTAATCTCCTTATCCAAAACACCAAGCAAATCTGTATGTAAAACCAAAAAAAAATCACTGCATGTCTACATAACATAATATAAACTACTTATATAGAATCCATAAACAACAATAAGAAATTAATGAGTTTATTAGTAATTTAAAATAAAAAGGTATACTTACCAATAGGATAGTAGTGAGTATAAGGCTTGTTGTACACAGATGCAAAATCAACAAACTTAATGAAAGGATCCTCAGTCAAATGTCTGATAGTTGAAACCTTTGTCCTCTGAGTGAGTATGATCTGGTACGCATGTCTGGTGGTTCTTGCATTCCAATTAGAGTTAACTAATCGAAACTGAGGAAGTTTAACCCATTGACTTTCTTGAAAACTTGTTCAAAGTAAGACAGCCCAGCGTTGCAAACGGAAGCAGCAACTCGAAAGCCCTATAAGAGTATTATTAATATTCATATAGATCTATGAGAAAAGTTGTAATAGACAAAATAATCCAAAAAAAATAATGTTCGATGCTTACATCTTCATCAACCAAGATGAAATCCATTCCAGGGAGGCCTTGTTAATCAGTTGATTCCCATCGTTTGAAAACCTTAACTTTGATAGTTTGTTTGAACTCTTCCCATGGAGTTAAGTCCTTCACCATTTGGTAGTCAGCCATCGTAGTTGTATTATAGATTTTTTGGTAGAATGTTTCAAGTTTTGGTTAAGGATGAAGTTAGGGACGACAGAAGATGGTTATATATATAGAGAATATTGAGTAGGTTAAATTGCGATGATTGGAATAAATGTATTTTTAATAAATAGTTAAATGGTTTGCTTCTTTTGGTTTGATATAGGCATATTTTCAACGAATCTAATTGAATCGGTTTCAGATTTGAGAAGAACAATCTTTTGATATTTGTAACGAAATAATGGAAGTTACTGATGAAAAGCTGCAAGTAGAATTCTATCAAATCAATTGAATATATCTGGTTTCTGAACAAAGAATATAATAAGTATGTTTACTATAAATTAAAGGATGCACATACTTTGGAAGAATCGGAATTATATAATACCTCTTTGTTAATTATAAAGTATTACTATGGAAATATATATTGATGCAATTTAAATATTCGGTAATCTTAATAAAGATTGTAATAAGTGATATGAACATAAATATATTTTCATATGTAAAAGGAAATTAAATATATCTATACAACCAACAATAATCATTTAGATATGAACGTTCGATATCCAAAATGGAGACTTTCTTAATTTTTTTTAAATAAATAATTAAATCTTAATAAAAAGCTGCATAAGATATCAATCAAATCAAATTGAGTATTTTTACTTTGCATGCAGAGAATAGAGTAATAAATTCTGCAATATACCAGCCAACAAACAGTATTTAATTTAGCTGTTCCATTAATATTAAGCATATAATATAACAAAATAATAAAATTATGATGTAAATCAAAACACTCAAATTAGAATACATAAAACTATATATTGTAAAAACCGATTAACCAAAGGATAAAAATATCAGATACGTTATAGTTAAAAATGCAGTAATATAAATGTAGATTACAGAAACATAATAGTAAAGAAGTTTTAATCATCTTATATTAAAAAAATTTCAATGATAGACAGAGTTGAGAATATAAAAAAAATCTTATAGTCTTGAGTGATTTCCATACATATAGAAATCAAACATAACTTATAATGCGAATAATTATACAAAGCTAAGAAAGATAGATTATTGGATCAGTTCCTACTCTTCCCAGAAGATGTACTTGCCTCATCGTCGTTCGTACCCAAATCAATGACATCGGTAGGTTTGTTTTGGTTCTTCCAAAACCTGTTACTAATAAAATTCTATTAAGCAAACATTCACATACAAAAAAATGATACCACTTTATATAGTCAATAATGGTTTACACTACAAGAAATATGCTTATTGATAGCACATTTTAATAGCGTAATATTTGTAACTGCTATTAAATGTCATTTGCGGAATTGGGTACTCTAATATAGCACTTAAAAAATGCTAAAGAGTAAATAATGTGAGCGGGAACAAAAAAAGGCTTTGGCTCGCAGAAAACACTTATGCCCGCCAACACTTAGTAAAAATTTCATTTTATAGACAAAACATAACAACATTCTGTCGACTAAAAAAACAACCATTTTCTCGGGTGAGCAAAAAATAGAAAGTTCTAGGGTTTACGAGAGAAGAGAGTGATCTCAAATTCATCAAGCCGATTAACAATCTGACATCTCTGATACCCTCATCGTCGGAAATCTCTTTCACCAGTGTCGATTTTGGGTTTAGATCAGGTCATCTTGATTCCTGTTGGAGTTAAGCTCTCGATTTTGGAGAATTCTAGGTTTAGCAGGAAATTTTCGGCGATTGAGGCACAGTTGTTTGTCAAGTTCAGCGGAAACTAGAATGTAACTCCAATTTCACTCTTCATAAACCCTAAATGTAATTCCATCATTCGATTCATTTAATTCTTATACTTGTTTTACTTACTACACTTTCATTCTCATTTCTTCCCTCTTGAGGTTTCGAAGCTGAAGAGAAACCAAAAGACAGCGAGAAGACATCAAATACATAGGCGAACAAAGCTCAATCGTGTCTGATTTCATCGATAATCAAGGTAAATGTAACTCTTTAATCGGTTTAGGGTTTACACAGAATTGATACGAAATTCGTTTATATTGAAATCTACTTTGTCTTTCGGAGTACTTTTAGGGTGTTTGTTTAGGGTTGAGTCGTTTAGCTAACAATTGTTATTAAGGTTGGAGTATACAATGGTGGACAAGGCATGGGTTCACCTATGCAGGTATCACTTAATAAACATTTGTTGAGGGTAGATGTGCTTCTATATAGTTTACCTGTATAGTTTTGACTTTTTTTATTCACCGACATGCATATGTTGAAGAGCGGATCCTGCATATGAGATTGGTGCTAGGAATTTTGTGAACTCAGTTGCCTCTGCCTTAGGAGATTGTGATTTGGTTATATGCCCGTGCATTGATTGTTGAAACGTAGACCGTCATTCTAAAAATGATGTAGTGGATCACTTGGTCACAAGAGGAATGGATGAGACGTACAAGCTAAGGACTGATTGGTATCATCATGGAGAAGTAAACAGTGGGTCTGACGAAGCAAGGAAAGTGATTAGAGAGTGGAATGAGGAGATTTTAGGGTTATATCAAGCTGCCGAATACTTGGATGAAGAGTTAGCTAACAAGACTGACTTATGCGATGTTGCTGAAGGTTTAGACAAGAGAGAAGACGAGTTTCTAGCTAAACTTGCTGATGCCAAAACGCCATTGTATCCAAGTTGTGCCAGCCATAGCAAGCCATCAGCAATTGTATCGTTGTTTAGGCTGAAGACTCAGAATGGGTGGTCGGACAAGAGCTTCAACGAGCTGTTAGAGACACTGCCGAGTATGTTGCCGGAGGATAATGTGCTTCACACCTCGTTGTATGACGTGAAGAAGTTCCTCAAGTCTTTCCATATGGGGTACGAGAAGATCCATGCCTGTGTTAATGATTGTTGTCTTTTCAGAAAGGGGTTGAAGAAGTTAGACAACTGTCCCAAGTGCAAGACATCAAGATGGAAGACTAACTTCCAAACCGGTGAACTTAAAAAAGGTGTCCCTCAGAAAGTTTTGAGGTACTTTCCCATCATTCCGAGGCTGAAGAGGATGTTTAGGTCAGAGCAAACTGCTAAGGAGCTAAGGTGGCATTTTACTAACAAAAGTAATGATGGAAAGCTGCGTCATCTCGTAGACTCCGTAACATGGGACCAGATGAATTCCAAGTACCCGTTGTTTGCCGCAGAATCAAGGAACATTCGGCTAGGTCTATCTACCGACGGTTTCAATCCATTCAGCATGAAAAATACAAGGTATTCTTGTTGGCCTGTATTGTTGGTGAGTTATAATATGGCTCCAGACTTGTGTATGAAGAAGGAGAATATCATGCTTTCCTTGTTGATTCTTGGACCGTATCAACCTGGCAACAGTATAGATGTGTACCTGGAGCCACTGATCGATGACCTCCAACGATTGTGGGACATTGGAGAGCAAACGTATGATGCATTCAGTAAAACCACATTCACAATGAAGGCAATGCTATTGTGGACTATTAGTGACCTACCTGCATATGGAAATCTGGCTGGCTGCAGAGTAAAAGGTAAGATGGGATGTCCATTATGTGGAAAGCATACTGATAGTTTATGGTTACCTAATAGCAGGAAGCATGTTTACATGTGTCATAGAAAGGGATTATCACCCACGCATAGTTACCATGGGAAGAAGGCAGGGTTCGATGGAAAAGTTGAATATGGAAGGAAGGGTAGGATTCTAACGGGTCATAACATATTTGTGTTGCTGAAGAACTACAAAAACGAGTTTGGAAATGTTAGACAAGCTGGAAAGAAAAGAAAAAGGGTTATTCCTGCGGAGTCATTAACTGATAGTGAAGACGAAGAATCCAAATCAGAGGAGGAAGAGGAAGTAGATGAAGAACAATTATCTAGATGAAAGAAACGATCTATCTTTTTCAATCTTCCTTACTGGGAGGTATGTTATCATTTTACAACTTCATTTATATTTGTTAAATACACTATACATAATTTAAAGACTTTCAGCTAACATGTCTAAATGCAATCCATAGGAACTCCCGGTCAGACATAACTTAGACGTTATGCACGCAGAAAGAAATGTTGCAGCGAGCATCATTTCCACCTTGCTGCATTGTGGAAATTCAAAAGACGGTCTTAATGCTCGTAAAGATCTACAAGTCCTTGGTATTAGGAAAGAGTTGCATCCTAAAGCCAGAGGCAAACGAACTTACTTACCTGCAGCACCATGGACTTTGTCAAAGGAAGAGAAGAGACTATTCTGCAAGCGTCTACATGAGTTCAAAGGACCGGATGGTTATTGCTCCAGTATATCCAGGTGCGTATCATTAGAAGAGTCTAAGACAATGGGATTGAAGTCACACGATTACCATGTGCTCATGCAATAACTTTTACCAGTTGCACTTAGAGGTCTTTTACCGAAAGGGCCTAGAATAGCCATTACACGATTATGTGCATTCTTCAACAATCTATGTCAATGTGTTGTTGATAGGGAGAAAATATCAGGAATGGAAAACAAAATCGTTGAGACTATTTGTATGTTTGAGAGATTTTTCCCACCTAGTTTCTTTGATATAATGGTTCACTTGTGTATATATCTTGGGAGGGAAGCTAGATTAGGTGGACCTGTGAACTTTCGATGGATGTATCCTTTCGAGAGGTAAGTTGTCTATACAAGTTTTTTGATAAGTTTGCTTGCCGCATATTTCATCTTCCATTATCATTATTCTTGTCTTCTTAATTCTTACCAGACACATGAAACTGTTGAAAGACTACGTCAGGAATCCTGCAAGATCGGAAGGATGTATTGCTGAATCATATCTAGCAGAGGAATGTATGCAGTTCTGCAGAGATTTCTTGAGGAAGACCACAAGTGTCGAAGATAGACAAGAACGTAATACTGAATACGAAAGCACTTCAATACTCAAAGGGCGACCTATTTCTGCTGGGAGGTCTATCACACTTTCTGAAGTGGAAAAGAAAACAGCACACCTAGCTGTCATTCAGAATACCGCACTGGTAGATCCTTATGTAGAGTAAGCTCTAATTTCTTTATTATGCTGCATTCATATTCGGAATTCAGTCTTTATACTAATATATTTCATTGTTGTCTAATGTCATTTTGTAAGCATGCATCTGCAATACCTGCAAGACACAAACCCACGGTGTAGACAAGATGCTACTTTCCTATGGAGTACTCACACTAAAAACTTTTCAGAGTGGCTTAAAAAAAGTGTTAAGTAAGCTGTTTCAGTTCCGTATTAATACAAGGTACATTTTAAACGTTTTGTTGATTTACTTACTAAATTATTTTTGTCAGATACCACTTGACTCTACGGAACATGATGACACACTTAAGTGGATTTCATATGGTCCACGTAATATGGCTAGATCATACACTGGTTACGTTGTTAATGGTCTGCGGTTTCACACAACATCAGTTCACAGACAAACGCAAAACAGTGGAGTATATTATGAAGCAACTGCAAGAAACACTTCCCAAATCGTGGATTTGGTTTCTTATTATGGCAGAGTGGTGGACATTATCTTATTAGACTACAATGTATTCTACATACCTCTATTCCGATGTCAATGGGCGGTCAGAGGCAACGGTGTGAAGGTGGACGAAGGTTTTACGTTGGTCAACTTGAACCAAAGTCAAGTCTCTTTCGCAAGGGATCCATTCATTCTGGCATCTCAAGCTAAGCAAATATTCTATTCCAGAGAGGACGAGTCTTCAAATTGGTATGTGGTTATGAGAGGCCCTTCAAGGAGATACACTGAGGCAGACAGTGATGAGGCAGATGCTTGGCCATTACCATTGATTGTTGACATGAACGTAGAACATGTTGACGCTGAAGACCAACCTGCAAGGGTTGATTGTGAAGGAATATACGTTTAGGACATATACATATTACCTATAGCGTAGTTAGAGTCGTTGCTTTCGGTTTCGTGTATATGCTTGACTATGTGGAATATGGTGGTCTGAATTTTTCACTGATGGGTTGTATTGGGTGTTTCAGGTGATAAAGTATGGGTCGACCAAAGGGAAAGAATAGAAAAAGGAAGAATTTATCTGAGGAGCCAGAATTTATTGGGACAGTATATCCGAAAAGTATGCATGATGGAGGGAGAAGACAATGCAGCCGGAAATGATCAACCTGATGAAGTCATGAACGAGGCGGTGCAGACGCAGATTAATGATGAGACACAGAGTCCAGAACATAGAGTGTGCTCTCAGGAACCAGATCTGAACGATGGATTACCGAATGTTGATGAGGATGCATTCCATGACCATGCATTCATGAATGATGAAACGCCGGCGCCTGAATCAGAAGGGAGTACAGCTCCAAACAAGCCTAAGCGATCTAGAGGTCCAACAAGGATGAAAGACATCGCAAGAGATCCTAATAGTCGCATAAAGGTTGAATTCAATAGCATGGGAGAACCGTATGGATCAGGATCGGTTAAGCTGTCATCTTATCTTGGGCCCTTGGTGCGTGAACACATCCCTGTCATTATTGAAGATTGGAGGAAGATTGGTGAAGAACGTAGAACAGTTCTATGGAAATCTGTACAGGTAGACCCACTTGAATTTAGAATAAGGTAAGTATAATGGACTTGATTTTTATTGTTTGTTTTGGAATTTATTGTAGGCAAGGTTCGAATTAGATGAGGAGTATCACAAGATGGCTGTCATCAAGCAAATGGGTTGTATATGGAGGGCTTCAAAGTCGAGGCTAGTCAGCCAGATCAAGAGTGGTAAGAATAACGCAGAAAGATTGAAGCTTCGCCCAAAGAATATTCCACCGGCAGAATGGCGCAAATTTGTGAAGGCTAAAACTAGTGCAGCATTTGAGGTAATCACGTATCCCTCATTTACTTCCATATACAGATAACTGAATTTTCGTTTTCAGGAACTAAGTGACACATATAAAGAAAGAAGGCGAAACCAGATTCCTCATACTTGCAGTCGAAAGGGGATGGTCAGACTGGCTGAAGAGATGGTAATATTCCGTATGTGTAATACTGATGCAACTATATGCAAATAACTAAAATTGCCACCTATTTTCAGAAAAAAGAGAGCTCTGAACCATCTGAAGTAACTAGACTACAGGTATGGGTTAAGTCTCGAACCAAGAAGGATGGCACTGCGGTCAATACAAATGAAGCCGAGAAGATCGTAAGTAGTTAACAATAACTAGTTGGTTTATTTTTAAAAGTTGATGAATACTAGCGTATCTTGGCTGATGTCGAAAGTGTGTGTACAGAAAAAGGCAGCTGAACTTGTTGAAACGGTTTCTCCCTCTTCGACGTCCACAAATCCCAAAGAAGATCTCCTTTCTCAGCTACTTGGGCCTGATAATCCTGGCCGTTTGGGATGAGTCAAACCAAGTTAGCATGCTTCCAGATGAAAAGCAAGTTTATGGATGATATGAAACGAGACCAACTAAGATTGATTCAGCAGGTCCATGATTTAGAGGAAGCACTGTCAAAAATATAGAACCAGGTAAGCGAGTATTTCATGTCTGGTGATAGTAACTCTGGATTTTACATTGTTATTATATTAACTTATGTTGGTATTTCAAATTACATTTTTCAGAAACGAGAAGCTGAAGTCGGAGAGAATTTTGCGCCAAGAGTAAACTCTTGTTTTGTCTTATTTAGCATTTAAAATATATGTCATATGTTTACATCTGTTTTTACAATTCACCATTAACGTTTGCAGAGTGTCAACATGAAATTACAAATGAAGTGTCTGTTATTCGACTGGGCTGGAACGGATGAAAAAGTTGGTGAAGGACGTATTTTGTCTGAAGAGCCTGAGGAATTTGTCAACAGTATATCCTTAGGCCCAAACTCGTACAAAGTTTTGGTGGAAACAGCGATTAAGCCAGAAGCTTATCTTTGGAGACCTGCTCGCAACGTCTTTAATATGGAGCAAGCAGTTGGAGAGATGATTTGCATGGCCTCGAAATTTTGTGGTTCCCTTTAGCAGCGGATGTGAACCAGAAGACATTACGCCTCTGGTAAATATTCTTTAAGTACGGAATATTATAGTTGAGTTTATAGTAAAAGTAAAACTGTGCAATGCTTGACAATGGTTTCATTTGTTTACTGCTTCACATAGTCCTAATACTAGCTCTCGGAACTTCTGCAAGCTGCTTGACTGGGCTAGAACTAACGAGGAAGTTGTTGCAGAGGGTCGTTGGCATTCTCCAGAGCCAAAAGCATTAGTCAACGGACTACCTCTCGGACCTAATGCAGTGAAGGTATTCGTCGATGTGGTTTTATGCCCAAATACCTTCCTCTGGAGGCCAACGACTGAGTTTTTAGATTTGGAGGATTCAGTCAACACCTTTGTCGCCTGGCCTGCTAATAGAGTAATCTTTGAGGCAATTCCTGAAACGAGTTCTCCTATTGCTAACTCTGAATCAACTCCACCAGCTCCAATACAAAAACCAATGAAAGCAATATCAGAAAGTTCTACTCCTATAACTCAGGTAGGTTTTCTTACTAAACTTTCATTTGTTTGGTTTGTTTGGATTTGTTGATTTCGTGTATAGCTATATATTCAAATTGTCTTCGCTACAGGAATCCAACCAAATGGAAACGGGGAATGAAAATAAGAAGTGCTTGGTGATGGCTATTACTGGAAAGAAGCGAGTGATTGCTGAAGGACGTTGGTCCACAAACGATCCACTTCAAACAGTACAATTTGTTCCCTTGGGTCCAAATGCAGTTAAGGTGTGGATTGATGTTGTCAAAGTTAAAGATGCTTGCGTATGGAGGCCTTCGTCTGAGATCGAGTGCATGGAAGATGCAATAGGAACAGCTATTGCTTGGCCAGAGGATAAAGTGGTACTCGTCTAAATGCAGTAGTCATCTGATACTTTAGTT